GAGAATATGTGTGGGTTGTGTAGAGAATGTGTGTGGGTTGTGTAGAGAATGTGTGTGGGTTGTGTAGAGAATGTGTGTGGGTTGTGTAGAGAATATGTGTGGGGCATGTAGAAAATGTGTGTGGGTTGTGTAGAGAATGTGTGTGGGTTGTGTAGAGAATGTGTGTGGGTTGTGTAGAGAATATGTGTGGGTTGTGTAGAGAATGTGTGTGGGTTGTGTAGAGAATGTGTGTGGGTTGTGTAGAGAATGTGTGTGGGTTGTGTAGAGAATATGTGTGGGGCATGTAGAAAATGTGTGTGGGTTGTGTAGAGAATGTGTGTGGGTTGTGTAGAGAATGTGTGTGGGTTGTGTAGTGAATACGTGTGGGTTGTGTGGAGAATATGTGTGGGTTGTGTAGAGAATATGTGTGGGTTGTGTGGAGAATATGTGTGGGTTGTGTAGAGAATGTGTGTGGTTTGTGTAGAGAATATGTGTGGTTTGTGTAGAGAATATGTGTGGGTTGTGTAGAGAATATGTGTGGGTTGTGTAGAGAATGTGTGTGGTTTGTGTAGAGAATATGTGTGGGTTGTGTAGAGAATGTGTGTGGGTTGTGTAGAGAATATGTGTGGGTTGTGTAGAGAATATGTGTGGTGTAGAGAATATGTGTGGGTTGTGTAGAGAATATGTGTGGGTTGTGTAGAGAATATGTGTGGTGTAGAGAATATGTGTGGTGTAGAGAATATGTGTGGTTTGTGTAGAGAATATGTGTGGGTTGTGTAGAGAATATGTGTGGTGTAGAGAATATGTGTGGGTTGTGTAAAGAATATGTGTGGGTTGTATAGAGAATATGTGTGGGTTGTGTAGATAATGTGTGTGGGTTGTGTACGGAAGAAGTCTTGTTAAGTCATGAGTGTGTGGTGAATAAGTTTGTGGTGTGTGGGAAATATGTGTGGTATCTATAAAGAAAATAAGTGTAGGTTTTGTACAAAATAAGTTTCAATTGTGTAGGGAATATGTGTGGGTGAGTAGTTTATAAGTGTTAATTTTAGTGCACTTAGAAAAAAAAAACGCACAAAGAAAATGCCCTTAAAATATTACTTACAAAGAAATAAATAGGAAAAATGTTCAAATATATGTACTCTCTAAGAAACTAGAAGACTACAACAAATTAAATATAAGAATGAGCCAAAAAAAAAAAAAAACCAACGAAAACTAAAGAATGGTTTCAAAAAAACTGCGCACATACAACCCAAAGCACAACTCTAATTAATTAATTAACAAAAAATTACTTAATAGTAATTATTATGGCCAGATAGCACTCAATGTAAAATCGATAAAATAAAACAGTTTGAATTAACAAATGATGAGGTGCCAAAAAATTCAAGAATAAATAAAGGCACCCGTAACTCCCATATCTTCATAACAAGCGTTTATAAAACATAGCGTTTAATGGTTGAATGATTCTATTTAGCACTATAGAAAAACTACTCTAAGCATCAACAAAAAGAACCCCACGGGGAGCGACTTAAGGACTATAGAGATAAATCAACCAAGCAAGGTTTGGTTGGCGGTGGTGATTTAGACAAGCTTAACTCTATGTGTATGCCTGTATTCGTGTATGCGTGTATGTATGTATGCGTTTTGCGTGTGTAGTAATACACTACTATTTAAATAACTAAAGCGTGGATAGCTTCCAAAATATTAGTATTTAATTGATTTAATTGATAATTTAGTAGCCCACGCTTTTGTTTATTGTTATTTAAATAGTAGAGTATTATTATGTATTAAAAAAAATTGCTCCTTTTTAGTGCATAATCACACAAAACTTGTTACTAAATGGTTTTTATGCAATTTTTTTGGTGTCAATAACTATGGGTGAAGGAATACTTTATTTTATTGGCAGAAATCCATTTTTTTTTTTAAATTAATATAAGATATCTTTGAACCATTGTGACGTTTTTAAAATAGGCAACACTCTGGCCGGTTAAATCTAGTTTAATCTGGTATTAAGAAGTCAAGACGGCTAGGTGATTTACAGAATAGAAATCGTTCACCTTGAAATGTTCTTCTCATTAACCTTTTTTTTAAACTCCTGTTAACAAAAAAAAAAAAAAAAAAAAAAAACAATTCTTACCACACATTGTACATTTTTGTTGGCGCAATTAGAATACATTATTTGTAAGGTTAAAAACCACTTAAAGAAACGCTCCATTGCGTCTAACATCTTATTCATTATTGGTTGATCAAGCGATATTTTTTTTTTATAAAATAGTTCTTTTGGTCTCATTATATATATATATTAAGTGTTCATTCAATGTATTGTATAAAAGCCCTTTATTTCTTTTGAAATGTGACTGATTGATTCGAGGGGTATCATATATCATGGAGATAAATTGGCAGAGTTACTGAGCTAGACCCGTCCCCCCTCCACCCCCCCCCCCCCCACCCCCCACCCCCACCACCACCACGACACACACAGTCCTAGTTCGGTTCTAAGCTGTAGTTTTCAAATGTTAAAATTCGAAGGGCTGGCGCCCCGGCAGGGTGCGATTTTTCTCTATTTACAGTATATAAAATATAAATGTCGATTGAAGTCTGACACAGTTCATCCGAGTGCCATGAAACTTTGTGGAGGTGATGGAAATAATCCTGATAAGGATTCTACGAAACATAAATTTAAATTTTCTTATGTGCGGCCCCCTGGAGGGTGCGATTTCTGTCAATACATGGATTGGCGCCTAGAATTTCAGAGAGGCTATCTTACCACTTAGTATCCGTTGATTGGGCTTAGCGGATAAAGGGTTCTATTGTATTCAGCGGTAAAACTACAACAGACACGGCGCCCCGGCAGTTGCGTGAAACGAAGCGCCCCTGGTTCCCCAGTGAGCACTATGGCGTCTACGTTCGTTAAAAAAAAAAGCCTATTGACCAAAGACACGAATTGCAACAATAATTGTTGACTAAATCGAATAAGGCACGTCCTCCGGCAACCCGGGGTTAGGGTGCGATTTAGCGCCACTGGCTATCCTATGAGAAGTATGGTGCATACGTTTTTCTTTTAAAGAGAGCTGTAGGCTGTTGATACTATGGTTTAATATAATCGTTAACTAAATTGAATTAGTCACGTCCGCTGGTGCCCCGGCAGGGAGTGATTAGGCACCCCGGGCTATCCCTTGAGCACTATGGCGCATACGTTTGAAATAAACAGTGCGATAGAATATGGATCAGATATAGTAGGTTGTGATTTGATGAGCGCTATGGCGTACATGTCCGTTTTAAAGAATGCGATGGTATGTGGATAAGTTGATGTATTATAGTCTTTTATAAAATCGAATCGTTTTAAATTAGCACTTTATAATATTGACACGGTGGCACGGGAGGGTGCGTTTTTCTCTATATACGGTATATACAAAATAAAAGTCGAATGCGAGTCCGCCGGCGCCCAGGAAGTCTGCAATTTGGCGCCCTGTGCCATCCTATGAGCACTATGGTTTTAAGGAGCACTCTACAATATTAACAAGTCGGCACGCGACATTCGATAGTTAAACCGAGCCTGGGCCATACATGGGCGCCCTTCTTGTAATGTAATAGGTGGGTTACAAGAGCGCTCTCTACGTCCCCGACACTTAGGTTGTGATTGATTAAAAGTGAAATTACAGTGAGTTGTGAACGTACACTCAAGGTGTGCTGAGCGGTAGTAAAGGTAAACCCGTACCCCGACAAATATGAATAGTTTCTTCCAAGCATCTCTTCGAGAGGGGGGGGGGGAAGGCTCAGTCCCCCGGAAGAAAGTCTACCACCTCCCCCCCCCCCTGAACGAAATGGAACATATGTGTAGAATATATATCCTTCTACCAGTGTCCGCCCCCCCTCCCCGGAAAATGTTGTCCGCCCACCCCTCCCCAAAAAAATATCAAATACCCCTACAATTTGACTCCCTGAGTTATCCCGTGAGCGTTATGGCGCCACGTAAGTTTTAAAGAATGTGACAGACTATGGATAAGAAGTAGTATTATAGTGGATTACTACATTGAATCAGGCGCGTCCGACCACGCCCCGGCACGGTGCGATTTGCGGGTACGTTGCATTGAAATCGTACTTAACAAATTTTGCAGTTCAATCTCTTTTTACCTCGAAAAGTATGGTCATCTAAATAAAGTGAACCAAAAGTGGTCTAGAGTGACCGCGGCCTTATATAAACTATATATTTTTAAAGCGCATTAATCACTTGCAGATTTGAAATGTTGATATTTTGTAAGGAGATAGCTCTGATGCCGTAGGCAACTGAAAAAATGCCAGATTTTCAGAAATGGCATCTTAAATGGTTAAAAATTAAACGCTTTTAATCCTCAATTTTAATTGTTAAAGGTAGCCTACGCAACAGCGTCAAGAATTCAAACTTTTAATTCCCCTCGCATTTTGACAAAAAAAAATAGGGCCTACTTTAAAATTGTGACTAAACGGTTTGTGTGTGTGCTGTCAGAAAGTAGTAAACACAGTTATTTCAAACTAGCCGTCTAGTAGATTTTGATATTTTTCTTGAAAGACTGTCTTTACTATTGCTTCCTTTCTTTGGCATCCTGTATTCTGACGTTATCAACAGTAACCTTGCTATGTCTTTTAATTTATCATAAATATAAATATAAAAATAAAATCCTTTGCAAAAACAGGTTCATAAAATAATATTGTATCGAGCATTGCTGACTTTACATCGTTACTTTAATCATAGGCAATAAATACATTTGTATAGTCGTCTTTCTAACGCGACTTGTCAAGGCGCGCACGGTTCAATTGTTATAGCGGAGACAAAATCGTCGAAATTTTTTAGTGCGGAACATGAAGAACAATACATAGTCAATGTCGAGACTTGACAACTGAAGTGGGCCCAAAATTATTCCAATACCTCCCGTGTGGTGCTTGTGTTGGTGGTTACTGGTATAAACCCGTAACCAAACGCTGTTGCCTGGCAGTGTTGCTAGCGGTTACGTTGAGTTAAAACTAAGATAAATTAGCCCGGGCACCGTCTAGATCCACATTCAGATCCAGTTCGGTGTCTGCTGAGGATGGCGTCGTGGTGGACAGTTGTCTTGATTCTCCAGATTGGTGAGATTTTTGTTTTAAGTCCTACTCATTTCAGTTCTGCAGAATCATCTCTTAATTTTCTGAAGTTTTCTCCAAGAAGAGCATTTACATAGACACTGAAGATGTGTATATTTGCCTTATTCAATATCTTATTTTGTTTGATCAGACCATTTCGTCTACATTATTATCAAACTGTTTACCTTCTAAGACTCTCTATCTCTTTGTTGATTCTGTCTCAATATTTACAGATTACAAAGTAATATATTTGGTACTATAAAGTGTATTGTGCTCAAAAATACAAAACTAAATTTTAATAAATATCTTGAATAGAAAGAATTTTTAATGAATTACTATGTGTTTACAATAATTTCAATATACCTGAATCAAAATTGTTTAAGATTGTACATTAATGGGCTGCATGCCTTAAATTATTTGTAAATACATATTAGTAGAAGTATAATCTAATATATAAAGCTCAGTTCTGTATGTAACGCATATGTTTGTCGTTGGTCTTGGATGGATTTAAGTGTTAGACAATTATCGTGCGCATTTGTCTAAATTTATGAGTTAACAAATTACTATTATATGGGAAATAATTTTCATTTTTCAAATTATAGTAATAATTGTCGGCATGTTCATTAAACACAAGTTTTAAAAAAATATCATCTTTTACAACAATTCTAATTATGTCTTTATTTAGTCCTATAGCACTTACTTCCCTTTGATAAATTAGGAAAACACAATTACTTCCCTTTATAAAACCATTGCATTTTGTGGAAAATAATTTACTTTTTAATTACTTTGTTTTGGTGTTGGGAAAAAAAAATTACATAATTAGCGGGGATTGATCAAGTGCAAATGTTGTAGGTATTTTACGGATAAGCTTGGAGTATTATAATTGTTCATCAAATTGAAACAGGCGCGTTCGTTTAAGTGAGTGCAAAAGACTATGAATAAGTTGGGGTACTATAGTCGTTCATTAAGCTAAAACAGGTGATTCCGCCCCGGGCGTTTATGTTCGCGTTAGTGTTTTCTTTGTGTTTAGGTGGGTTTGCGTTAGTGGTTGCCTTTTGATTTGGTTCGTTTTTGTTCTTTCTTTTTTCGTTTTTGTTTGTGTTTTTTTTGTTTGGGTTTGTATTTGTGTTTTTGGTTGGTTTTGCATTTGGATTTGGTTTGTTTCGTTTGCTTTTTCGTTTTTTTTGTTTTTTTTTTGTTGGTATTGGTGTTTGTGGTTGGGTTTGTTGTTAGGTTTTTGTTTTCGTTTGCTTTTTTGTTTGTTTTTTCTTTGTGTTTGTATTGGTGTTTGTGGTTGTGGTTGGGTTTGTTCTTAGGTTTTCGTTTTCGTTTGTATTTGTAATTGTGTTAGCGTTATGTTTGCGTTTTGTTGTTTTGGTTGGTTGTGGTTTGGGTGGGCAATGCCGGGTGTATGATGATTACTAAACACACAGGTAATGGTCTTTAACAGAAAGGTTTTTCACAGAAGCCAGAGCAGGGCCTGGCCGGGACGGCTAGTCTAATATATAAAGCTCAGTTCTGTATGTAAAAATACATATGTTTGTCGTTGACATACTTCTATGGATTTAAGTGTTAGACTATTTACCGTGCTCACAGTCTAAATTTATGAGTTAAAAAATTACTGTTGAAAGTGTTGGGAAATAATTTTCATTTTTCAAACTGATAGTAATAATTGTCGGCATGTTCATTAAACACAAGTTTTAAAAAAATATCATCTTTTACAAAAATTCTAATTATGTCTTTATTTAGTCCTATAGGACTTACTTCCCTTTGATAAATTAGGAAAACACAATTACTTCCCTTTATAAAACCATGGCATTAGTCGAAAATAATTTACTTTTTAATTACTTTGTTTTGGTGTTGGGAAAAAAAATAATTACATAATTAGCGGGGATTGATCAAGTGCAAATGTTGTAGGTATTTTACGGATAAGCTTGGAGTATTAAAATTGTTCATTAAATTGAAACAGGCGCGTTCGTTTAAGTGAGTGCAAAAGACTATGAATAAGTTGGGGTACTATAGTCGTTCATTAAGCTAAAACAGGTGATTCCGCCCCGGGCGTTTATATTCGCGTTAGTGTTTTCTTTGTGTTTAGGTGGATTTGCGTTAGTGGTTGCGTTTTGATTTGGTTCGTTTTTGTTCTTTCTTTTTTTGTTTTTTTTGTTTTTTTTGTTTGGGTTTGTATTTGTGTTTTTGGTTGGTTTTGCATTTGGATTTGGTTTGTTTTCGTTTGCTTTTTCGTTTTTTTTTTGTTTGTTGGTATTGGTGTTTGTGGTTGGGTTTGTTGTTAGATTTTTGTTTTCGTTTGCTTTTTTGTTTGTTTTTTCATTGTGTTTGTATTGGTGTTTGTGGTTGTGGTTGGGTTTGTTGTTAGGTTTTTGTTTTCGTTTGTATTTGTAATTGTGTTAGCGTTATGTTTGCGTTTTGTTGTTTTGGTTGAATGTGGTTTGGGTGGGCAATGCCGGGTTTATGATGATTACTAAACATACAGGTAATGGTCTTTAACAGAAAGGTTTTTCACAGAAGCCAGAGCAGGGCCTGGCCGGGACGGCTAGTATAATATGAAACAAACAAAAGAAAATAGAGGATTTTAGTAGATACATCGTGAGCTTTCTGGTTGTTTTTTTTTTACGGTTTGCTTTTTAAAAAACTTTTTTTTTTTTTTGCTTTCGTATGACTTTCATTAATTGTTTAGTGGGTGGTTAGTCTGCCGCACATATGGGAACATCTGCAATATTTTTTGAGGCAACTCGATTTTGAACTAGTTTCTTCAACTGTTAGTGTAATGTAAAAGCCTTTTTTTTTAAAATCTGTACAAAAAACAGTGAGACAAACTCAACAGAAATGGGGGTACGTACTTTTCTATTTCAATACAGTAATCACAACTAACTGTACTGTGCACACAATAGTCACATGATTGTAAAAAAAAACGCGAATTCGATTTTACGTTAGATACTAAATGACTTTCCTCTTAGAGTTAATTTGGCATGGGTCTACGACAAATCTCGAAAGACATTTGCGAGAATGTCGTTTAGCCGAAGGCCGATTTCCCGAATACATCAATGGACACATGCCCGAATGCGAGAAATACCTGAATGGACACTTGTCCGAATGCGACAAATACCTGTATAAACACTTGCCCGAATGCGAGAAATAGCTAAATGGACACTTGCCCGAATGAGTCAAATGCCTGAATGGACACTTTCCCGAATGCGACAAATACCTGAATGGACACTTGCCCGAATGCGACAAATACCTGAATGGACACTTGCCCGAATGCGACAAATACCTGAAAGGACACTTGCCCGAATGCGACAAATACCTGAATGGACACTTTCCCGAATGCGAGAAATACCTGAATGGAAACTTGCCCGAATGCGACAAATGCCTGAATGCACACTATCCGAGTGGGGCAAATTTCCGAGAGCCACTTGTTATGCGCCATTTACGCCGTTGACTTCGATTTCAGCCTGCTTTTTTTAAAATTTGTTTCCATAGCCTTTGCCCAACCAAGAAAAAACTGCAACGCAGCAGTAGTTTGATTTTAGAGTTGTATCCCCTAGATGAGTTGCTGTCCCCATCTAACGAGTTCCATCTGCCGGGAGTTCGAACTCGGACGTATCGGTTCAGTAACCATACCGACTCGACCACGCTGACTAGATAACATATTAAATAACTCCTTCCCACAATACCCATTTACGTGTCAAATGCGAATATCGCTGAAAGGTATTATACGTCAGTCAGTTAACTGTAGAACCAGTAGCGTACGCAGGGGGGAGCAGGGGGAGCGACCGCTCCCCCTCTGGCCATTTTCAGCAAAGTGGCGCCTTTTTTGGAAACTTTTTAAACTCAAAGTTTTAAACAATGATTTTTTGTTAACAAATTATTTTTAGTCGCCACATCTATGTAAATCACAATATTTCTTTTCATGCAGCAATTAAGCAGAATTGTACTAGTCTAGTAGCGTCTACGTTTACAACACGTATTAACAGCTGTATCAAGTTTGTCATTCTAAAAATAACCATTACGATGCATTGCAATTTTTAAAAAATCTCTACGGCTAATACCACTTGGCAAGAGGGGTGTTAAGTTTAAGGCAACTGTATAATGTATTTGCTTAAGAATAATTGATCTAGAAAATATTATACATAAATCTTCACACATAATTACTCTATATATACAGTTTTAATCGTGTAATTAATTAAAAAAATTACAATACAGACACAAATACAACTGATGTGGCACCTCTATTAAATTTACTTATGGGCAAACTGCGTAGTGGTGGGGAAATTTTGACAAGGTCAACAACGTCATCACGATGAAGTAGTAGTATTATGACAGTTTGGGCGTAGTGATTACGATTACAAATTATATGAAACAGTTACAACCCCCCCCCCCCCCCCCCCATGGATTCTCTGTAAAAAAAAGTTTTGTCACAATACCACTGCTACTTATTTAAATCTATTTCTGAATCAGTATATATGTGTAATTGAATATGTATGTTTAGAACAGTCATCTAAAAACTGACGCTATATTCACTCTGAGTTGGTTATCTTTCACCCCCCCCCCCCTCCCCCACGCACACCTCACCACCACAATTGTGTAGAGCGACATTAATGTCACACCTAGGTGTACACTGGGTTGGATAATGACCTAAAGTGACCGGACAGTGGTGAATGAAGTTGAACCCCCCCACCCCCCAACCCAACCCGAACTGATCTGTTAAGTATATTTGGAAAAACGCGTAAAGATGTACCAAAGTACCGTGCCGCCAGAATCATAGCTTTTGGAACAGGTAAAACTCTGTGAATATTGTTTTTGCAAATACCAGTAAAAAGGTGTGTGATCAATACAGTGATCGAGCCCATACCTGATCACTATGTTAAAAAATGATCTTTTAAGAACACAAAAGCAGTAGTTAATGAAAAGATGTGTGATCTGAACTAAAGACCGATATTTTAGTTAAATGTATGCTATTATTCCGAATGCTTTTCTATTTTATTTAAAGCGTGTTTTTATACCAACTCTGATTTAAAAAACTTTCATTATGCTGTAATACTTTAGCTTACTTTATGATAATAATATATTTAATTCTGATTGTAGACCAAAATCTTTTGTAAACACGAATATTGTTAAACAACTTTATGACATTCTTAAGTAATAATTGATTTGTTTTGACATTTGTAATTACATATGTAGATATATACATATTTATATTAAGAGCGTGATTATTTCCCCTATTTCGCTTGTCTTAATTAATGTCCGAGGAATTATTATGTAAACATTTTTTTTACAAGAATTACAAAACAGAATGTGTTGCCTTTATTGTTTTTGGTTCTAGTGTATATATATATATATATATATATATATATATATATATATATATATATATATATATATATATATATATATATATGTTTAGATTAACACATTTTTTTGTTTTGTCGGCCTACATTGTGTGTTTTTTCTTACTTCTACAAGTGCTTCTTACAATTTATTTTACATCATAGCGAAGTAATGACATACAGCTAGTAATTATATATGTATATATATATATATATATATATATATATATATTGTATATATATATATATATATATTGTATATATATATATATATATATATATATATATATATATATATATATATATATATATATATATATATATATATATATATATATATTGTATATATATATATATATATATATATATATATATATATATATATAGGCCTATTTATATATATATATATATATATATAATACACGTATATAGAACGTGTTCAAAATTCGGCGCCTTTTTTTGCTCATTTCGCTCCCCCTACACCGAAAACCTGGATATGCCTCTGTGTAGAACACAACTTAAAGTAATTTAAATAGAGAATGCAATTACATAATTATGAAGTTCCATTTAGAACACCATTTGTGGGTAGAAGCATGCACTTGAATGCAGGGGAAAATGCTAAAGTATGTGCGAAATAATAAAGTAATCAATTAACAATTAGCTCTTTAAAAATAGATTTGACAATAATTAAAAACATATATGAAACGGTTAAAAGACAGCGTATGCGACGAAAAATTATGCGGTTACGTAGCGCTTACAGCTACGTCACCAGTTCTAGTCATAGATCGCTGACTCCATCTATACAGCTTTATGTTTTAGGTTACGGGGTCCAAATCTATGGATTGCGAAGGGTGTTAGGCCAGTTTTTACTTTCTCGTATATACGTAGTATAGAGAAAGTCTTGTAATCGTGCAAAAAAAATCGAGATTTTTACAAATCTCGACTTTTTACACCTCACTGATACGGAAAAATATAATTTTGTAATCTTGTCCGTAAGTCTCTGTGTCTGTGTGTCTGTGTATGTGTGTGTAAACACGAGAACTTGAGTACCGTTACATCTAGGTTGATGAAATTTCATATATAAGTATTTTATCAAAATCGTAGATCCGTTTCAACTTTTGAACGATTTCCGATAACCGGAAGTGGTAATTTTTCAACTTTGAATTTTTCAAAAGCCTATAACTTGAGCATTATTTCAGATAGATAAATGACATTTTACATGTAAGTAAAATATCTAATTCTCTACCTTTTATCAAATTTGAGTAATTTCCAATGACCGGAAGTAGTAATTTACGCCATTTCCGATTTCTCAAAAAGCATGTAAATTTATAAATTACTAATAATATTCCGCACTATTATGCACATTTTGTTTTGGCGTTCGCTTGGTGCGTAGTTCTTTTTTCTACGAGATTCTATTCTATTTTCAAAAGTTTCAGTAATTAAAAATCATGTCTATATTCCGAGTTATATCAGAATATTAGCCGTCCCGGCCAGGCCCTGCTCTGGCTTCTGTGAAAAACCTTTCTGTTAAAGACCATTACCTGTGTGTTTAGTAATCATCATAAACCCGACACTGCCCACCCAAACCACAACCAACCAAAACCAAAACAACAAAACGCAAAAATAACGCTAACACAATTACAAATACAAACGAAAACAAAAACCTAACAACAAACCCATCCACAAACACCAATACAAACACAAAGAAAAAACAAACAAAAAAGCAAACAAAAACCTAACAACAAACCAAATCAAAACGCAACCACTAATGCGAACCCAACCTAAACACAAAGAAAACACAAACGCGAACATAAACGCAAAGTGCTCACAGTCTAGCCCGGGGCAGAATCGCCTGTTTCAGCTTAATAAACGACTATAGTACCCCAATTTATTCATAGTCTTTTGCACTCACTTAAACGAACGTAGGTGCCAAACCAAACCAAATGAACAATTATAATACTCCAAGCTTATCCGTAAAATACCTACAACATTTGCACGTGATCAATCCCCGCTAATTATGTAATTATTTTTTTCCCAACACCAAAACAAAGTAATAAAAAGTAAATTCTTTTCCACTAATGCAATGTTTTATAAAGGGAAGTAATTGTGTTTTCCTAATTTATCAAAGGGAAGTAAGTGCTAAAGGACTAAATATAAATAATTTTCAGACATAATTAGAATTTTTTATAAAAGATGATATTTTTTTTTAAATTGAGTTTAATGAACATGCCGACAATTATTACTATCAGTTTGAAAAATGAAAATTATTTCCCAACACTTTCAATAGTATTTTTTTAACTCATAAATTTAGACTATGAGCACGATAATAATCTAACACTTAAATCCATAGAAGTATGTCCACGACAAACAAACTTATTACATGTTACATACAGAATTGAGCTTTATATATTAGATTCGAGAAAATTTGCAAATAAAAGTATTTAAAAAAAAAAAGATTCGAGAAAATTTAGGGGGGATCACTCCCGGTTTATTGTTTTTTTCTAGTTCCGCCACTGCTTTGGGTCAGTAATTAAATGCCTTTCTGTATGTTTTAATTGAAATAAAATCATAAAAATAACATTAAAAGGAATACATTTTTTATGTCTTTGTGTTTGCACTGCGATCGATGATGATTTTTAATATTTCATACATGAACGATACGATTGTTGACTGATATTTCATGCTATTTAACTTCCTCTAACAGGTGCATTATGGGAGTACACCCATGCCACTTCGTGCACGGCCGTTACCAAAAACACCTGCACGCCGACTCTACAGGTAACTGGCACGTGCACTAGCGAGGTATGTGACTGCAAGAGTGGTTTCGTGACGACTCGGACGGGATGCAGTGGTGAGTAGATGTGTTGACGATTTTGTTTTGAAAACTCACCCGGTCCGGATGATAAATACTAAACCTGAATCCTGTGTCATCTCTACTCGAAATTTTACACTGTCTTCAAGCGTATTCTGATAAAGATAGCAGACTATATCATTTTTTGACTTAAAGGTGCTGCCAGTAAGACGGATGTTAGTGATGTAAAGATGATGAAGATGGTGATTATGATGGTTGTTGTTTTGATGACATGATAATGGTGCAGATATTGGTAAAGATAAAACAACGATCACGATCATCTTTACCATCTTGGACCCGTAGTCTCCTAAGACGTATTGCTGAAAATGTTTTTGTTATCATTATTTGTAATATTCAATCCTCTGTTGTGTGTGATGAGGAAAATATAACGTCGTCAACTCGATTTGAGCTTAAGACTTATTAGAATGCTATAAGCCATCACAAAATCTGATGTCAAAAAAAAAATGTGTTTGCATGGAAAAAAAAATAATTTAACATTTTTATACTCTTAATCTTTTTTTGCTAATTTTTTTTTTACTGAAAAAAACACATTGAGATAAAGAAGCGCACATCATACTAGACAACTTCGATTTATATAGAATTTAATATTAGACTTTTCCGATGGTCATATATCACTATATAGGCCGAAATAATTACCATCCCAACCCAACACGATACATTTAACTGAATCGGTAAAGTTGAAGTACGTTTTGAGAGGATCATTCACATTTTCGCGCGCACCTGTGATGGGGAATGGCAAGGTCGGGTGGTTCGTTCAAACTCCACGCCTGTGAAAAGGCGACCTAAAGGGAGGTTTAAATTTCAGTTGTTTTTTTTTTTTGGAAGTCTAAAACAGAAGACCCGTTTATACCGTGTTTGTGTAGCATCGTTTTCTTATTAAAACAACCTTGATCCAAAATTACTTTGATATTATGTTTTCAAAAAATAACAACTAAGTTGGTCTTATTTTTTTATCGTAGTATTTTGTTTTATGATTTTATATTTTAAAAATAATAAAAAGATTTGTTAAGTTATGTTGCTGATTGTTTGTCAAAAAACGAATGAAATGAAATAATTTGTTTTCTACTTTTTTTTAAGGCTCGATCACACCAAAAATAGATATTGTAGCGATAAGTGGGACATCAGAATATCCAGGTAATATATATCTGCATTGATGTAGTATCATTTACAATACTCAATTACAATAATATAGGTAACTTTCAGGTTAAAGTATTCTTTGAAGTTAAATCTTTACTGCTTTTTTAAAAAAAATTTTTAAGACAATGTGAGCTTTGTTCCAAATTTCTTGTGAGAAGAAAAAACAATATTTTTTACATTCTAAAGGAAATGGTGAAGTGCTTGAGGGAGGCCCTATAACACTGAGATGTAACCCTGACTATGGTAACGGACAATATGTTTGGAAAAAAGGTACCACGGAACTATCGAATAAAAACAACAGGGATTATGTTGTGGCAGCTGCAGCTGTGGTTGATGCAGGATCATACACGTCAGTATCGTCTAGAACTATGCAATTTATGGGCAATAATAACAGTAATAACTTATAATGTATATATTTAAATATAAGATTAATATCATGAATTTGTCTTCACTAAAGGAGGACATAAAAGAGAGATCAAAATATTTTAATATTATATTAGCTCTAATTATTTCATTGTTTCGTTTTATGTGGGTTTTTTTGTTTGCTTTCAATGGTGTTTTATTTAATGAATTGTAAATATTCTAGTTGTAAAATCAAACTCACCACCAATGACTTTGAGACGGCAGAAAGCTCTCCTGTGACAGTAACGGTGGTTGCAAGTAGGTTTTAGTAATATATTGACATTTACATAAGTAGTGATGATGGTGGAGTAAATGGTGCGATAAAATAAGTTGACCCCGCGAGATAACCTTCTGATTTCTACCTGGAAAAATGTTATTGTTGTATTTTGATATTTCAGGCGCTGCGGGTACTTTTGCGATTGCGCCTAAGGTTCTTGGCATGCCTGCAAAAGCACTTACTGGCGCAAGTATCACACTTCAATGCGGTAACCTTCCTTCCGGACAACAATTAACCTTCCAGTGGTTCAAAAATACTAACACTGATCAAAATACAGCGACACAAACGTTAACCATTACTCAGGCGGCGGGTTCTGATACGTACACGTGTACAATGGTCAGAGCTACAGGAATAACGGCTACCTTTACGAGTGCTACAAGTACTGCGGTTAATCAACCTACTATACCCAGTGAGTTCTATTCCATTTTAAAACGTTTTCTAAAGGGCATGATGTGAAATAAAATAAAAAAAATAACGTATGTAACACGTAAAGGATATAACTTTTTGTTTTTAAAATTTTTCTCTTCCTTTCTTTCTCTTCTTTAAGGTTATGTCCGCCTTAAACTACAACTGATTAAGGCGGCTGAAACTCAGTAAAGAACCGAGCATTTCTCCCAACAATGTTATAACCCACAAGCATATGGTTTCCGCTAGGCTTTAGCTTCCTCCCGTAGAACATAGTATGTCCATAAGGGGCGGTTAACGAGCGTGCGGTGTACAGCTGGGCCTCGCTGTTCACCCAATCCCGCAGTTGTAACTAACGCAATACACTAGAGTCGCATATGGTTTCCTTGAATACATAATTTAGCCTAGTATTACTAATTTTTTCAACTACCTTATAATTGTAATAAGTATTCTTCTAGTTTAGCCTAAATAATCTTCACGGCTGTGTTTGGGTGCTTGTTCATTGATATATTCATCCTCAGTATAAATAATTAACCGCTCTATATTGTTTTATGGTGAATTTCTTTTTTAATTACACAAACCAATATGATAAACCGACAACAGCTATTTCGTTATCCCCTAAATTTCAAGCAATGAAATTATTGTCTAATTGTAAATAAAAATGAATTTACGAAGAATCTATCTATCTATCTCTTTATATATAAAGCAATGTATGTGTGTGTGTGTGTGTGTCTGTGTGTCTTTTATGCATTACCACACCTCTTATCACATCGCCGTGAAACTTTGGGAAGTTGTTGAGAATATTCCTGGGGAGGTTTCTGTGAAAAAAAAATTTCAAATTCGCTGGGGTGGCGCCCCGGCAGGGCGCGATTTGTTTTTCTCTATATACGGTATATAAAAATAAAAGTCTATTTTGATTTCACACTGTTCATCCGATAGGCATGAAACTTTGGGGAGTTGATTAGACCACTCTAGGGAAGGGTTCTGTACAAAAATCATTTTTAATTTCGCAAGGGCGACGCCACGGGAGGGTGCGATTTTTCTCTATATACGGTATATAAAAATAATAAAAGTAAATTGCCATTACACCGTTCACACGATCGCCATGAAACTTTAGGAAGTTGTTAAGAATATTCCTAGGGAGGTTTCTGCGAAAAACAAATATTTCAAATTCGCAGGGGTGACGCCCCGACACGGCGCGATTTTTTTGTCTATATACGGTATATAAAAATAAAAGTTGATTTTGGTTTGGCATCGTTCATCCGATAGCCATGAGACTTTGGGGAGTTCATTATACCACTCTAGGAAAGGGTTCTGTAAAAAAATAATTTTTAATTTCGCAAGGGCGGCGCCACGGGAGGGTCCGATTTTTCTCTATATACGGTATATAAAAATAATAAAAGTGAATTGCAGTGACACCGTTCATCCGATAGGCAAGAAACTTTGGGGAGTTCATTATAAAACACTAGGGAAGGGTTCTGTAAAAAAACATTTTTAATTTTGCAAGGGCGGCGCCACGGGAGGATGCGATTTTTCTCTATATACGGTATATAAAAATAAAAGTCATTTTTGGTGTGACACCGTAATAATATCCGATAGCCATGAAACTTTGGGGAGTTGATTAGAACACTCTGGGGAAGAGTTCTGTACAAAAATCATTTTTAATTTCGCAAGGGCGGCGCCACGAGAGGCTGCGGTTTTTCTCTATATACGGTTTATAAAAATAAAAGTCTATTTCGGTTTCACACCGTTCATCCGTGTAGTATGAAACTTTGGGGAGATGATTAGATCACTCAATGGTAGGGTTCTGCAAAAAAAAAAATATTGTTTAATATTGCAAGGGCGGTGCCCCCCGGGGCGGGGGGGGGCGATTTTTTTTTCTCTATACACGGTTTATAAAAAATAAAACTCGGATGCGGTTCATCCGAGTACCATGAAACTTTAGGGAGTTGATGAGAATACTTCCGAGAATATTTCTAAAGTTTCTTATGGGCGGCGCCATATAGGGTACTACTTTCGTCAATACATGGTTTGGCACCCAGAGTTTTAGAGCGACTATGTTGGCACTTGGTCAATCGAGCGTCCTGCATAGCGAGTAAGGGGTACTACTATATTCAGCGGTAAAACTAGAACAGGCTTCTAAAAATAACTTTGTAACGCGAGGAAATCCTTCTGTACAGTTTCGTCACCTTGCCAAAGATGAAAAATAACTTTTTGAATATGAGGAGCCTACTGTAGAGTTTCGTCACTTTGCGAATGATGCAATAAGCATCTATTATTAGACAATCCTGTCAGAAATTGAGATCGAGCATCTAATAATAGACCATTAGTAACGCTAGCATATTGCATCAGTCACACTGATATTTAAAACACGTCAAATAATTTTTTTACGTGTTAAAGAAAAAATTATGTTCATTTGTGTCACTTTAGCGAATGACGAAATCTGCATCATTTCTAATAGGATGCTATTTGGCACGATGGCGCCTGTTAGTTTTAAGGAGCCAGGGTTCGTACGCCACGCCTATGCGGTAGTATAATCGGGGGTGGGGGCCCTGAGAGCGCCCCTCTACGTCTCTGACACATGGGCGGTCACCGAAGTGTGTTTTACCATATTATTTCGGTGAGTGATTAATGTACACTCAAGGTTTTCACGCGGTAGTGTATGTAAACCCGTGTCCCGATATTTATGATCCAAGCGCATGCATTGTTTACATTTAAAGAACTCACTTTTAGAAAAGACGGTCACGCGTCTAAGAACATATGATTGGTAACGCGTTGGTGAAATCCTTCTAATACAATTCGTCAAACTTTCTTCTATCCCTGCGGCAACGCGCGGGGGACAGGTACGCTAGTTAAATTATATAAATAAGATAATATTAAATAATAACAGGATCCTAAAAGTCTGTTTTATTGATTTTATTATTATTATTATTATTATTATTATTATTATTATTATTATTATTATTATTATTAACGTAAATGAAATCAATGGCAGCCACCATCACTGGCGTCTACCTGTCAAGTGTCGCAAGTCCAGACCCCAGTGGACCCAAACCTGACGTTCCTCCAGTAATCTCTGCCGAAGCAGGTAGTACTGTGAGGGTGTACTGTGCGGTTAATGACACGGATCTCATCGGTAAGTTTGATGTTACCCACTTCTACAAACAGTCAAGTTGCGGGGAATCATTCGTTGTTATTTGTAATGTTTATTCTAAGTAAATCTAAAACGTAGTGGTCTAGCGGTAGAGAGCTGGACTGTAAGTCTCGAGTTCAAATCCTGGTTCAAGTCAGTGGACCGTCCATGAGTCCACCCAACTCTAATGGGTATCTAACTCACGTTAGGGTAAGTAAAAGCGGCTGGGCATAGTGCTGATCACACTATCTCTTCATACGCCGAGGTCACAGAAACAAGTGAACTCTACTTCACTTGCCCTATAGACCGTCACGTTGGCAGAGGGAACTTTAAAAAAAATCTTAAACACTGAAACAAAATCCTATTACTACACGGAAAATTAGTAGTGCCTAAACGTGTTATGTCTGAAGTTATTTTTCAAGAAATATTTAAAAGTTTCGTACTGATTTGGTTAAAAAAAATTTAGAACAAAGATGGATTTAGAGGCTAAAGGTGTATTGCACAAGCATAAATCATTGGTAAATGGATAAGCATAAATGTATTTAACAAAGGTCATAAGAACGGTTATATTATAGACTGTTTGGTAATAAAAGATCCACATCAATTTGTGAATATTAAAGTAAAGCACTGGGAAAAAAAGCAAGACTTTCTATGACATCAGATAAATTTTCCCTGAGTCTATCAAACGATACAAATGTGCCTGGTCACTTTTGAAAGTGTTTCTAATGTCCCCCCCCCCCCCACCCATCATCAATGCTAAATAAAATGACGTGTATTTTAAATTGGGACATAGTTACAGGATCTTCAAGTCTTACTTACAAGTGGAAGAAGGGTACTGGTGATATAACCGGCGAGACCACTAATACATTAACTCTCTCTAGTCTCGCGGTTGGGGACGCTGCGAGTTACTCGTGCGAAGCCACACTGGGCACCACACCATACCCTTCCAATCCGGTGCAACTTAACGTTGGTGAGTAACAGAGAGAATGGACGAGAGAAATAGGGGATAAATAGGAGATGTATATATATATATATATATATATATATATATATATATATATATATATATATATATATATATATTGTCATTGAGGAGCTTTTCAATATCCCATTCCACTTGATTATCACTGCACATCCCTCTCCAACCTACGACTCTCCTAATTTTACAAAATGTATAACTTTTCATGAGCACCACATAAACTATATAATAGTGGTAAAGTCTACTTTACACGACCAATCTATCTTTAACTTTTGATTTGCAAAATAGCAACAAAATCTAAAAGAAATCGAAACCTGAAATTTGTAACTTTTATTAAAGAGAGCAAGATAATTGACTCTGTTCATCTTGCCGTGATACCAACAACTCCTGTACTCACGGGTTACGCCGTCCTTGACTGTCAAGTAAAGATCGCAGACTTACGCCGGGTGAGCTACAGTTGGAAAAAGAACAGCATTACAATGCCCAACGTCACCGACAGAGCATTGCAGGTAGGGCTGAACTGAAAAGTTTCCAAATATAATACGTTTAGAGTGGGATATCACTTACAAGCAACTATAACCTAACCTAATTACAAGAAATTAGTCTAACCATATCAGGATATTCATACAAGGAAGAAACACATTAGGCGTATTTAAGCTCAATTTTAAATGATCATTATTAGTATTTCAGCTCGTTTGAGTGATGATGATCAGTATTTAAGCTCAAGTTTAAAAGTTCATTAGATTTATTTATAGTGAAGCTGAAGTGATCACTAACTCTATTTAAGCTCAAATCTTAGTGATTATTAACTGTTTTTATGCTCAAGATTAAGTGATCATCTGCTGTAGTTTAAATTGTTATAATATTAGAAGCACTCTTGATAATTGATTTAGTATAGCAGCTCTTTTTCGTAAGCGTATTCAATCAAAATGAAATCCAGCTATTATTAATAGTAGAGATTTTTTTTAATGATAACGCAAAAATCTGTTGACGTTTTATAATCTCGCCGCTCTACAAATCACAGAACCTGGTTGCGCCCCTGAATTTGCTGTATTTAATCTCCAGGTTAGGTAACTCATCAGTTACTAAGCTGGTGTTTATTGTTTTTTCGCCTATAAATTAATTCAATCTTGACTAAATTATACTGATTTGCTTTAAAGTATAAAGAACTCAAATGTATATAAAAGCTTAAGACGGGTTTACAAAATTGTTTTAGTTTAGCGTAACATATATTCATACATTTTCATACTTTCCAGATTAATAATTTGGTTGCCTCAGACAATACAGCGTATACATGTACAGCCACTGTTGGCTTCGATTCAGCTACTTCAAGTTCAACCTCTTTAACAGCAGTTGCTTTAGGCAAGTAATTAAAAATAGTTAATTAACCCTTCTATTTTCTATGAGATTGGCTCTTGCCTTGAATTAAATTAATTAATTTTATAAATTTAAAAGTATTGAACACAAAAAAATATAATGTTTTCAAAAACATATATCCTAATAAAAATTCCTTATTTACCTGACTATAAAGCGTGGGTCAGTATAGTGTGTATTAAAACGCCCTTACTAGCATTTAATGAGCGAGTCACGATAAACAAGCAAGGAAATACCGAACATAAAACAAGTCAAGCAAAGTTATGGACGAAATGAAAAACAAATAATTAAGGAGTTGTTTTTTTTTTTCAGATTTATTTATGAACAGAGTTTCTTCCAGGCATCACTTCGGGGTGGCCGAAGGCCCCCCCCCCCCGAAAAAAGTCTACCGCCCCCCCCCCCAACGAAATGGAATGTATATAGAAAAAAAATATATTTAACAGTGTCCGCCCCTCCACCCCCCCCCCCCCCGAAAATTTCAAGTACCCTGAAAGAAACACTGTAAATGAATGAATAATTTTTTCTTTTATGCCTGTCGAACCGACCTGCTTTACTGCTCATTGATTTAAAATATCCAGCTTGTGTTAATCTCAGATAAGATTGAAACATCCGTACATGTGGATTTTATTTTATGCATATAAGCCTTCGCGATTATCTAGACATGAATTACTCGGCTAAAATTAATTGTTAGCTAGATATTAATATTAAAAATTACCTTGATTCATATTCGTGCGGCGGCGTGGTCTAATTGTAGAGCATTCGACTACTAGCCCGCAGGTCTCGAGTTCAGATCCCAAACCGGTATCGAGATTGTAGAACGTCCCTGAGGCCACTCAGCTCTGGTGGGTACTTGACTCACGTTTAGGCGGGTGAGCATAGTGCTGACCACACACCCCCTTCAAAAGCCGTAGTCAAGAAACATATAGGCCTACTCTAATTCATCTGCACTTTTGGATCGTCAGTTATGAAAAGGGAGCTTTTCTTGTTTGAATTCGAAAATGTTTTTAAAAAACAAATCATTTTTAAATATTGTCACAGTTTGTTTGTTTCGTAGGGTTAATATAATTTCAGCTTAAACTAGGCCTTCTGATCAGCATTTATGTTTTTCCTGTGTTGGGCAATTTGTATTTTTCAGACAGTGAAACACCTTTGGTTACATCTTTAAGTGTTAATTTTGGACTTGGAAACAAATACACTCTCACATGTGGGGAAGCCTACACTATCCCTGGGCTGACTTACAGATGGTATGAAGGAGCCACCGTAGTGGAAGGTAACTGTAATAAATAGTACCAGGTTTAAGTATAGACAAGATACTCAATCATTTTTTTATATTTTTTTAGCGCAATTTCCATACTGGCAATTGCGTTTAATAATGCGTCATTTCTGTATGGATGTATGTGTGGATGTGTGTCCGCAGCTTTAAGTCGTATCTCCACCTCAACGAAGCAATATCGAGGACTAGTTCCAAAGCAAATATGTTAAACAAGTTCCGAGGATGATTGTGGGCCAAAAAAATTCCCTGAATCATTCATGGATTTCCCGGAAAAGCCAAAAAAACTCGAAAACATGCAGTTTTTTGCCCATATCTCGGCAACCAGACAACTTAGCGACTTGAAACATTTACCAATTGATTCCTGCCATAATTTAGAACAATATTGCAGAAGAAAGTTTTCAAAAATATCCTTTCGTTCGGTCACAAAAAATTAATTAAGAATTTTTAAACTGAGCATCGTGTAGGCCTAAGATGATATTTTTAATTTAAAATGAGCATCGTGTAGGTTTTTAGCGCAAAAAAATATCCTTTCGTTCGGTCACAAAAAATTAAAAATTGTTATGGATAACATAAGGAAATTGCGCTTAAATTGTCACTAGACTTTTTATTAACTTGTTTTTCTATTCTTATCACTGGCTTATTAAAATCTAACAAAAATAAATTTACTGTGTTGTGTGAATTATTAATGTTATTATAATCAATTATTCTTATACGTTATTACTGTGATAATTGATTTTCATTATTGTAAGGTTTTTAAAAAGTGTAATTTTTATTGTTTATTGTTATCTGTTATATTTTCTGTAAATAGTGCACATACGAAAAGTTAAGCTCCACCACTTGTAACCTATTTCTGATGTCTATACATTTGAATATTTAAGTGCAGACCATAAAAACTACCCCCCCCCCCCTCCGCCTGTAGGGTTAAAGTTTGGATTAGAGTTGGGTTAGGGTTTGGTTTAGGGTATGGTTTAGTGTTGGGTTTAGGGTTTGTTTTAGGGTTAGCTTTAGGGTTGGGGTATGGTTTGGTTTAGGGTTGGGTTTAGAGTTTGGATTAGTGTTTGGTTTAGGGTTGGGGTTAGGGTTTGGTTTAGTATTGCGTTTGGGTTGGGTTAGGGTTAGGTTTAGGATTGGGTTTAGGGTGGGGGTTAGGACTGAGTTTAGGGTTGAGGTTAGGGTTAAAGGTACCAAAATACATACCTTTCCATGCAAATTATAATTGGCATGTCCCAATTTTCCCCGCTTCAATAAAATCTACAAGAAGGCCTACACGTTTTATATCATCTTATATATTATTTTTGGGTGGCGGAGGCTTATCTGGATCATTTTTTATGATCCCCTATTATTATCTATTATTATTACAATTAGGCTATATCTGTTATTTTCTATTTCTATTTTATTTTATTATGTTTTTGACGATTTTGAAAATCAAAACAACTCAAGCATTATTATTGAAAGTAGTAAAACACCAAATCTATGATTATGTTTTTACTCAAAGATTAGATAACTGTATATTAATATATGCATACATTGCTTTACTCGGAGTCTTAATCATCGATTTTTACTAGGCCAAACCTCAAAGACCTATGAGATAACTGTTAAAACAGGGACGACAAACTACAAATGTGATATCGCTCTTGGTAGCAAAACATCGCTTAAAAGCGCCACCGGTCTCAACGTTGTTGCCAAACGTAAGTGATTGAGTATATTAATGCATATGACTTTCTATTAAACGACTTCAATTCCCATCCACACTCTTCCAACCCCCCTCCCCCCTCTATTAACACTTAATCCACCCACACCCACCTTTTTTATCTGAGAAAATATCAGCCAACTGGTATGTCTCATTCAAGTGAGCGATAACGCTAAAACATGCAAAACATATTACATATTATTATATTACTATTAATTATCTTAATACACGTATGACTTGCTATGTAAACGCTAACCTTATTCCTAACCCAAGCTCTAGAATAGCCCTAATCCTTATTTCTAACCATAACTCTAACTGTTATTACAATACAACCTAACAAGTCTATTTTTAGAGAAATCTATTGTTGGACATCGGTAAGACCAATGCTCAGACTTAAAATAGGTTCAAACGTTCTTGTTTCTCATTGTAGAACTACTAGAAGTGTATATCAACGTGGGAACTGTCAAAATGACAGGAACATACACTCCAGTTACTGGAACTAGTGTCACACTCACCTGCGTGGCCACTACAGCAGCAGGAGCATCTGGTACAGTCACCTACGCATGGACTAAAGGTGTCACTCCTACAGGCTCGGGAACTTCGACTTTGACAATCACTGCTGGCACCGATGATGGAGCTTATACTTGCACAGCTGCCATTGGAGTTGAATCCTTACCATCCGCCGCATTGACCGTTACAAGCGCAGGTATTTAACCATTTTACATTCTGGTAAATAAAACCATTTACCATTAAGGTATTTAACCATTTCACATTCAGGTATTAGAACCATTTACCATTAAGGTATTTAATCATTTCACATTTAGGTATTAAAACCATTTACCATTAAGGTATTTAACCATTTTACATCCAGGTATTAGAACCATTTACAATTAAGGTATTTAACCATTTCACATTCTAGTAAATAGAACACTTTAGCATTAAGGTATTTAACCATTTCACATTCAGGCATTAGAAACTTTTACCATTAAAGGTATTTAACCATTTCACATTCGGATATTTAGCTATATTTAGTAGTCTAAAGTTGTATGTATCCTTAGGATGATTAAAATCACAAATTTTACAATTCTACAATAAGTTATACTAAAAGGCATACTTTGCTAAACAAAAGTTATATTTGTAAAACATCAAAAAATCTATAAGTGACGTTATTTACCTTCTACCATACAGTAGCGTTTTTCATTGTCACAAAAAGCCATACCCCCACTATTATATGACTTCACAGCTTAGACTACACCCCTCCCCTTCAAAACTGCAGTTTTCGTTTTTTTTTAAAACATTGATATTTCTGAAATACTTTCTAAGCTCGGTCAACAATGGATATATTAATTTCTATAGGAATTTACTAAAAACACACGGTAAAAACACAAAAAATTAACCCACAATATTGTTTCTAACATTGCTTTTATAAATGCAAATTGTATGTCGTGTCATTTTCTAAATATTTATTCATTATATATTTATATATTTATATCTATATCTGTATCTATATCTATATATATATATCTATATCTATATCTATATCTATATCTATATCTATATCTATATCTATATCTATATCTATATCTATATCTATATCTATATCTATATCTATATCTATATCTATATCTATATCTATATCTATATCTATATCTATATCTATATCTATATCTATATCTATATCTATATCTATATCTATATCTATATCTATATCTATATCTATATCTATATCTATATCTATATCTATATCTATATCTATATCTATATCTATATCTATATCTATATCTATATCTATATCTATATCTATATCTATATCTATATCTATATCTATATCTATATCTATATCTATATCTATATCTATATCTATATCTATATCTATATCTATATCTATATCTATATCTATATCTATATCTATATCTATATCTATATCTATATCTATATCTATATCTATATCTATATCTATATCTATATCTATATCTATATCTATATCTATATCTATATCTATATCTATATCTATATCTATATCTATATCTATATCTATATCTATATCTATATCTATATCTATATCTATATCTATATCTATATCTATATCTATATCTATATCTATATCTATATCTATATCTATATCTATATCTATATCTATATCTATATCTATATCTATATCTATATCTATATCTATATCTATATCTATATCTATATCTATATCTATATCTATATCTATATCTATATCTATATCTATATCTATATCTATATCTATATCTATATCTATATCTATATCTATATCTATATCTATATCTATATCTATATCTATATCTATATCTATATCTATATCTATATCTATATCTATATCTATATCTATATCTATATCTATATCTATATCTATATCTACATCTACATCTACATCTACATCTGTATCTGTATCTGTATCTGTATCTGTATCTGTATCTGTATCTGTATCTGTATCTGTATCTGTATCTGTATCTGTATCTGTATCTGTATCTGTATCTGTATCTGTATCTGTATCTGTATCTGTATCTGTATCTGTATCTGTATCTGTATCTGTATCTGTATCTGTATCTGTATCTGTATCTGTATCTGTATCTGTATCTGTATCTGTATCTGTATCTGTATCTGTATCTGTATCTGTATCTGTATCTGTATCTGTATCTGTATCTGTATCTGTATCTGTATCTGTATCTGTATCTGTATCTGTATCTGTATCTGTATCTGTATCTGTATCTGTATCTGTATCTGTATCTGTATCTGTATCTGTATCTGTATCTGTATCTGTATCTGTATCTGTATCTGTATCTGTATCTGTATCTGTATCTGTATCTGTATCTGTATCTGTATCTGTATCTGTATCTGTATCTGTATCTGTATCTGTATCTGTATCTGTATCTGTATCTGTATCTGTATCTGTATCTGTATCTGTATCTGTATCTGTATCTGTATCTGTATCTGTATCTGTATCTGTATCTGTATCTGTATCTGTATCTGTATCTGTATCTGTATCTGTATCTGTATCTGTATCTGTATCTGTATCTGTATCTGTATCTGTATCTGTATCTGTATCTGTATCTGTATCTGTATCTGTATCTGTATCTATATCTATATCTATATCTATATCTATATCTATATCTATATCTATATCTATATCTATATCTATATCTATATCTATATCTATATCTATATCTATATCTATATCTATATCTATATCTATATCTATATCTATATCTATATCTATATCTATATCTATATCTATATCTATATCTATATCTATATCTATATCTATATCTATATCTATATCTATATCTATATCTATATCTATATCTATATCTATATCTATATCTATATCTATATCTATATCTATATCTATATCTATATCTATATCTATATCTATATCTATATCTATATCTATATCTATATCTATATCTATATCTATATCTATATCTATATCTATATCTATATCTATATCTATATCTATATCTATATCTATATCTATATCTATATCTATATCTATATCTATATCTATATCTATATCTATATCTATATCTATATCTATATCTATATCTATATCTATATCTATATCTATATCTATATCTATATCTATATCTATATCTATATCTATATCTATATCTATATCTATATCTATATCTATATCTATATCTATATCTATATCTATATCTATATCTATATCTATATCTATATCTATATCTATATCTATATCTATATCTATATCTATATCTATATCTATATCTATATCTATATCTATATCTATATCTATATCTATATCTATATCTATATCTATATCTATATCTATATCTATATCTATATCTATATCTATATCTATATCTATATCTATATCTATATCTATATCTATATCTATATCTATATCTATATCTATATCTATATCTATATCTATATCTATATCTATATCTATATCTATATCTATATCTATATCTATATCTATATCTATATCTATATCTATATCTATATCTATATCTATATCTATATCTATATCTATATCTATATCTATATCTATATCTATATCTATATCTATATCTATATCTATATCTATATCTATATCTATATCTATATCTATATCTATATCTATATCTATATCTATATCTATATCTATATCTATATCTATATCTATATCTATATCTATATCTATATCTATATCTATATCTATATCTATATCTATATCTATATCTATATCTATATCTATATCTATATCTATATCTATATCTATATCTATATCTATATCTATATCTATATCTATATCTATATCTATATCTATATCTATATCTATATCTATATCTATATCTATATCTATATCTATATCTATATCTATATCTATATCTATATCTATATCTATATCTATATCTATATCTATATCTATATCTATATCTATATCTATATCTATATCTATATCTATATCTATATCTATATCTATATCTATATCTATATCTATATCTATATCTATATCTATATCTATATCTATATCTATATCTATATCTATATCTATATCTATATCTATATCTATATCTATATCTATATCTATATCTATATCTATATCTATATCTATATCTATATCTATATCTATATCTATATCTATATCTATATCTATATCTATATCTATATCTATATCTATATCTATATCTATATCTATATCTATATCTATATCTATATCTATATCTATATCTATATCTATATCTATATCTATATCTATATCTATATCTATATCTATATCTATATCTATATCTATATCTATATCTATATCTATATCTATATCTATATCTATATCTATATCTATATCTATATCTATATCTATATCTATATCTATATCTATATCTATATCTATATCTATATCTATATCTATATCTATATCTATATCTATATCTATATCTATATCTATATCTATATCTATATCTATATCTATATCTATATCTATATCTATATCTATATCTATATCTATATCTATATCTATATCTATATCTATATCTATATCTATATCTATATCTATATCTATATCTATATCTATATCTATATCTATATCTATATCTATATCTATATCTATATCTATATCTATATCTATATCTATATCTATATCTATATCTATATCTATATCTATATCTATATCTATATCTATATCTATATCTATATCTATATCTATATCTATATCTATATCTATATCTATATCTATATCTATATCTATATCTATATCTATATCTATATCTATATCTATATCTATATCTATATCTATATCTATATCTATATCTATATCTATATCTATATCTATATCTATATCTATATCTATATCTATATCTATATCTATATATTTGTAAAGCAAAGTGGTCAAGTGCCCGATAGGGCACTTCCCGGCGCCGCAGGCGTGTCAAATTTGGCACGATGGTGCCTTGGGTCAATAGAACACGAGGGCCGGTGACGGTTGGCCGAAAAGTCGACGGAGAGGGGGTCAAAACTGACCTCGACTGACCGGCGCCTTATATGGGCTATATTACGAAAAAAAATTTCCTCCGACGACCCCCCTTCATATTTTTTGAGGTGGTAGGAGAAAGCCTTGGGGTGTCACAAAAAACTCGCCATGTCCGGGAAAACTTCGTAAAGTGGTCAAAACTGACCAGTCGTATTTCCCTATATAATCTTTGTATTTTATGGGAAAAACAGAGGGTCATTTCAAAACGGATTTTAGGGCACTTACCCTCTTTACATCTGGCTAATTTTCGGCATATAAAGAGAATTTCACTCGCGGTCACTTTTTTGCCCGCGTCGAGGGCGTTGAGTCAAACCGACAGGTCTGCCCTACGGCCAAGCCATTTACCTATAAGCATGCCAAAACTTAGCCAGATGTAAAGAGGGTAAGTGCCCTAAAATCCGTTTTGAAATGACCCTCTATTTTCCCCATAAAATACAAAGATTATATAGGGAAATACGACTGGTCAGTTTTGACCCATTTCCTGATTTTTCCCGGACATGGCGAGTTTTTTGTGACACCCCAAGGCATTCTCGTACCACCTCACAAAATTTCAAGGGGTTCGTCGGAGGAAATTTTTTTTTCGTAATAGAGCTCATATAAAGAGAATTTCACTCGCGGTCACATTTTAGCCCTCGTCGAGGGCTTTGAGTGAAACCGACAGTTTTCCCTAAAGGTCACGCCATTGTCCTGAGAGTATGCAAACAATTAGCCAGATATACTGAGTTTAAGTACCCTAAAGTCTGCGTTGAAATGACCCTCTGTTTTTCCCATAAAATACAAAGATTATAATGGGAAATACAACTGGTCAGTTTTGACCCATTTACGAAGTTTTCCCAGATATGCCGAGTTTTTTGTGACATCCCTAGGCGTTCTTCTACCACCTCACAAAATTTCAAAGGGGGGTCGTCGGAGGAAATTTTTTTTCGCAATAGAGCTCATATAAAAAGAATTTCACTCGCGGTCACTTTTTAGCCCTCGTCGAAGGCTTTGAGTCAAACTGACATGTCTGCCTTACGGCCAAGCCATTTACCTATAAACATGCCGAAAATTAGCCAGATGTAAAGAGGTTAAGTGCCCTAAAATCCGTTTTGAAATGACCCTCTGTTTTTCCCATAAAATACAAAGATTATATAGGGAAATACGACTGGTCAGTTTTGACCACTTTACGAAGTTTTCCCGGACATGGCGAGTTTTTTGTGACACCCCAAGGCTTTCTCCTACCACCTCAAAAAATATGAAGGGGGGTCGTCGGAGGAAAATGTTTTTCGTAATATAGCCCATATAAGGCGCCGGTCAGTCGAGGTCAGTTTTGACCCCCTCTCCGTCGACTTTTCGGCCAACCGTCACCGGCCCTCGTGTTCTATTGACCCAAAGGCACCATCGTGCCAAATTTGACACGCCTGCGGCGCCGGGAAGTGCCCTATCGGGCACTTGACCACTTTGCTTTATAAATATAGATATTCAAGAAAGTTTAGGGGAGATCACTCCCGGTTCATTTTTACAAACAATTAATTACAAGAAAATACCTCATCTGGACAAATCTAACGACCCTAAGGTTTTTTTTCGACGGGAATAATGTTTTTTGTTATCCTCCGGGGTTGGTCAACGACCTCACAAAATATTAGGGAGATCGTTCGTCAATTTATTTATAGATATCTTATATAATGAGAATTTCACTCGCGGTCACTTTTTAACCCCCGTCGAGTGCTTTGAGTCTGACTAACAGTTTTTCCATACGGCCTAGTTATCTATAGAGGTGCATGGCCGGATAAATAGGGGTTGAGTATCCTAAAATTTATGTTGAATTTATCCTTTTTTTCCATAAAATACAAAGATTACATAGAGAAATACGACTGGTCAGTTTTGACCCATTTCCAGATTTTTCCCGAACATGGCGAGTTTTTTCTAACACCCCTAGGTGTTCTCCTACCACCTCACAAAATATCAAGGGGAGTCATTCGGCAAGAAATGTTTTCGTTATATAGCTCAAATAAGGAGATTTTTAAACGCGGTCATCTTTTAGCCCTCGTCGAGGGCTTTGAGTCAAACCGAAAGTTTTTCCAAAAAGGCCAAACCATTTACACAGGTGCATGCAAAAAATTAGCCAGACATACACAAGGTAAGTGCCCAAAAATCTTTGTTGTAATGACCCTCTATTTTTCCCATAAAATACAAAGATTATATAGGGAAATACAACTGGTCAGTTTTGACCCATTTCCAGATTTTTGTGACACCCCTAGGTGTTCTCCTACCACCTCACAAAATTTCAAAGGGGGGTGGGGTCGTCGGGCAAAAGTTTTTTCGTAATAGAGCCCATATAAGGCGCCGGTCAGTCGAGGTCAGTTTTGACCCTTCTACGTTGGCCTGTTGGCCAACCGGCACCGGCTCTCGTGTTCTATCGCCTCAAGGCAGACTCATGCCAAACTTGAAGCGCCTGCGGCGCCGGGTAGTGCCCTATCGGGCACTTGACCACGTTGCTTTATATATATAGATGTAATCTATTCAAAATTATAAATTATTAGGTACTTCTTTAAAAAATTACGATTTCACATTTTTTTCGCCCCCCTACGGACAGCGCCCTAGGGGACCGCCTAGTTCGCCTTATTGGTATCGCCGGCCCTGGCTACCATAGACAAAATATAAAGACGTGTAACAAGTAGGGTCTAACTATTTAACCAAATCAGCATCAATATGCTTTATTTATCTCTGTCTGTTTACATTTTAACGAACAATTCATTTTATTCATGTTTAGTGGCTGTTGCAAAACCTGTAATAGGCGGGTCACCAGTGGCTGTTGCAAAACCTGTAATAGGCGGGTCACCAGATACTTATAACGGCGGTTCGAGTACATCATACAGTGAGGGAGGTAACTATGTACTAACATGTGCAACAACCTCTCATACCCCAAGTCTAATTTATGCCTGGACCAAGGATGGTAACCCTGTTGGTAACAGCAGAGTCTATCAGGTAACAAATCATTTCTCCTATGTTTGTGTGTGTGCTTTCTCATATACAATTTAAAAAAAAATGAAAATCACCTATAGATTTACATATATGTAGCAAAGGCATAACTAGGGCAAGGTGGGTGGGGCGGCCGCTTCGAAGTAGGCCCAAAATGCTCTAGATAATAATATAAAGAGCTCATTTATGAATTACTAGCCGTCCCGGCCAGGCCCTGCTCTGGCTTCTGTGAAAAACCTTTCTGTTAAAGACCATTACCTGTGTGTTTAGTAATCATCATAAACCCGGCATTACCCACAAAAAACCACAACCAACTAAAACCAAAACAACAAAACGCAAAAATAACGCCAACACAATTACAAATACAAACAAAAACAAAAACCTAACAACAAACCCAACCACAATCACAAACACCAATACAAACACAAAGAAAAAACAAACAAAAAGCAAACGAAAACAAAAACCTAACAACAAACCCAACCAAAACCACAAACACCAATACGAACACAAAGAAAAAAACAAACGAAAAAGCAAACGAAAACAAACCAAATCCAAACGCAAAACCAACCACAAACACAAACACAAACCCAAAGAAAAAAAACACAAACGAAAAAGCAAACGAAAACAAACCAAATCCAAACGCAAAACCAACCACAAACACAAATACAAACACAAACCCAAAGAAAAATACAAAAACGAAAACGAAAAAAGAAAGAACAAAAACGAACCAAATCAAAACGCAACCACTAACGCAAACCCAACCTAAACACAAAGAAAACACTAACGCGAACATAAACGCAAAGTGCTCACAGTCTAGCCCGGGGCAGAATCGCCTGTTTCAGCTTAATAATCGACTATAGTACCCCAACTTATTCATAGTCTTTTGCACTCATTAAAACGAATGTAGGTGCCAAACCAAACCAAATGAACAATTATAATACTCCAAGCTTATTCGTAAAATACCTACAACATTTGCACTTGATCAATCCCCGCTAATTATGTAATTATTTTTTTCCCAACACCAAAACAAAGTAATAAAAAGTAAATTCTTTTCACCTAATGCAAAATTTTATAAAGGGAAGTAATTGTGTTTTCCTAATTTATCGAAGGGAAGTAAGTGCTAAAGGACTAAATATAAATAATTTTCAGACATAATTTTTGTAAACGATGATAATTTTTTAAAATTGTGTTTTATGAACATGCCGACAATTATTACTATCAGTTTGAAAAATGAAAATTATTTCCCAACACTTTCAATAGTAATTTTTTAACTCATAAATTTAGACTATGAGCACGATAATAATCTAACACTTAAATCCATCGAAGTATATCAACGACAAACTTATTACAAAAATACAGAATTGAGCTTTATATATTAGATATACAGTCGAAATAAAGAATGTTGACTGCCACTTAGCATCACGGGTTACTTAATTGCTTTCTACATCAATTGTGTGGCAACAAAATAAAAAGGCAAATTGATTAGAAAAAGTGCCTCGACCTTTTCAAATGTTTAGGATAAGGGGGGGGGGGGGTGTAGCATTTTCACCAACGGGAATAACTACATGACAGCCTAATCTGTGGAGGGGGCTCTAAATTGAAAGCTTGCCGTGGGCGCCTCAATAGATTTCTACGCCTTTGACGTTTTAGTTTCGACTAACTAAACGTTAAAAAAATGTCTAAACACTGATGTTTATAACTGCGTGTTATTTTAACAGATAACAAGTGCCAAAAAAGGAGCAACAGGAGATGATGGAAGCTATATATGTAGTGCCAAATCGGGAGCTCTAGCCGCAGTGGCCAGTGATCCTGTAACTATTACCATTGGAGGTATATTTGTAATAACAAACAGTTGCTGAGTTTTGTTTTAGATATTTTATATGTAGCCTGATTCATTGTTACGTAGATCATGTAGGTTGACAAATGCACTTGCTATAAACGAGGGTGTCAACCCCCCCCCCCCCCTGTTGACATCTGGTGCTTCCACCCTGGGTGATGTCACTCTTTTCCTGACTATGTATATAACTATAATTAGCTAATTAATTAACAGGAAAAGGCATTAAAACTTTTAAATCAGATAAATTTCTTTGGTGCGGTCTGAAGTTCTCTGCCCTCCCCCCCCCCCCCCGCCCACCCCGCCTTATCAACTTGAAGCGACTGGTCATATATAAAGGCACAATAAAACCACATTTTTAGATAAAGTAATAAAAAAATATTCTTCCCTAAACATCATCGTTTATGAAAAAAAATATTTCTTAATGTAAAATGTTTTTTTTCTTCTATTTGTTTGATTTATATGAAAAATGTGAAAACAAAAACAATATGTGATTTTAAAGGCAGCTTCAACTATACTAAGACTTATACTATAAGAATTGATATATGCATTGTTTTTGGATTATTTTTTTTTAATTACAAAAAAATAATTGCAATACAGAAAAAAAATGTAATTAAATAAAAAGTTATATTTAATTTTTTTCAGTTCTGTTTAAAATTCAACATACATAATTTAATAAACTTACAGTAATTTATCATTTTTTCAACCTATATAATGAACAACATTAGAATTTTAGAAAATAAATATTTAAATTTGATTATTCGCAAAAGATAAGATATAGCTTTAATAATCAAAATATATTTCTCCGCAGATAAAGGAAAGCCATGTTTATACGTTGACGACTGTGATGGTGACCAATATGCTGATGTTTGTGAGAACAGTCGATGTGTGTGTGCCACTGGCTACACACTACAAGGAAACACATGTTGTGAGTTGAAGTGATTTTTTCCCATGCAGAAAAAAAAATTGTTTAAATGGCACAAAATGTCGTCATCCATAATAACTATTTATGTCTATATATAGCCTAGGCCCATCCTTAAATTAAAAAAAAAAATTATTTAAATTATATCAATTTTATTTTACAACAAAACATAATTTATTATAATTAAAAGTATTAGAATATGTATTTTAAAATATTAGTTTTAACAAATTGGGGAATATTTATCACACATTAATAACTCCAAGCTTCTATCTTACGAAAACAACTACCTTTATTATGCAATTGAATTTCTATCTTTAAAAATAAGGTATTTTTATGTTGTAAAATATTTATAGACTATTAATGTTTGATTTTATCTTGGTATTTCATTAACCATAAACAAATTTATTAACAATAATTTTCACCTGTATAAGCTTATCCCTTTTACTATGTTTTCTGTAGTATTCTCCCTTGTATGTAGAATAAAAATACCTAAATTATGTAATTGATAAAATTCTTTATAAAATTATAACGTATTATTGCTACTTTATTATTGACCATACACTAAACATTTAAATAATGCAAAATCATTATGATTGAATCTTCAGCTGGACAAGGAATAGTGACCATCTCTATGCTGCTGTTTGTGTTGTGTGGGCTCATCAAACTGATCCTGTAACTGGACAACAGTGGACAACATAGTCGAATGTTTAGGCTATAGGATTACACTGTCTTACACATTAAGATTTGTCTAGTCCTCTGCTGGAATATTATGATTGTGTGTTGTATTCTACTAAAACATTGTTATTTTTTTTTTTCAAAACTATGACAAGCCTGTATCTGAAAGTCCCTAAAGGATTGCGGTACAAGCTTTGATTTTAACTTTGATTTTTATTTTTTTCTACTTGTATGTGTTTGCTTTATATTTAAGTGGTTGTGTGTGATTTATATTCTTAAAAACTTTTTATTAATGATTGAAAAGAAGAAATGTACTGAAGATTTAAAGATAAAGTATTTTCAACATACAATGCTGATAAAAATTCACCAACATAGACGATTGTTTATACATTTTTAAATTTTATTTAGTTGTGGAATTTTCATTGTTTATAAATCAAAACAATTATTTTTGCAATTCAAAATGTGCTAAAATATTTATTTAAAAAATAAAATATAGACTATGAAGTTCGTTTTTGAAATTTCTAGATTGAAATGTTTGAAATTCTTGTAAATTTGGTAAAATACCACCCGGGGTAAATCTGAACATGAATCAAATATATCTATAGTTTTTTCTTATCCGTGATAATTTTGATTTTTTTTCAATACATATATCTTGTGATTTTTTATGTTATAGAACATATGCAACCGCATTAATCTTTTTAAAAAGTGTTTTTAAAGTTTAACTACTAAAAATGTTTTTATGACTCTTATCTCAATAACAAACTTATGTAATTTAAAAAAAAAATATGGGAATCAGATTCCCCAATTATTTTTCATGTTCAAAGTAGTTTTTTGCGCACTATCTTTTATTTTAAATCTTAAATTACATCTTTATTTCTAAAATAAGTCATATTTAAACGTAACAACTGAGTTGTGTGGTAAAAAATAATTATACTATGATAGTAATTAGTAATTAATGCTTCGATGTTTTCAAAACTTTATTTATTGAATTGAATTTTTGGATATGTTTAAAAATCTTACCAACAGTATAAATAAATAAATCAATAATTTTTTTTTCATTCAACTGCAGTTGGTTTGAATTGTTCTGTTTTTTTTTTTTCAGATTTATATCAGGCATCATATAATCAGTTATTGCATTAATCAGTCTATATAACCATCTTAATAAGTTTTCGATCTTAATTGCATTGTTGGACGGGATCTCCTCGGATTTCAGCCTTCTTTTCTTTCTGAATTAGCTTCATGGATTTTGCTCAGCCAAGAACAAACTGCAAGGCAACAGTTGTTTGATTGTGGGTGTTTTCTTTAATAGTTAAGTTGCTATTACGAGATATCTACATCTACTGCAGGGTTTTTGACATGAGGACGGTTTGGTTCAGCAACCATGTGCCTCTACCGGTTGGACCACACCGAACCCATTGTAAGCTTCAATTATATTACCATCATCATCTACTGTAGATAATAATTGAAATAAGGTAAACGAAAAAAACAGCTATGGAACAATATTTGTAATGGCGTGGTCAAATAGTAAAACGATCACTAACTCGAAATTCTAAAGTCCCTGAGTCCACCAAACTCTGATGGGTACTTAACTCGCGTTTGGGAAAGTAAAAACCTCTGGGGATAGTGAGCACCACATTGTTCTTTCATATGACAAGTTAAGTGAAACAGGTGAACCTTGCTTCACCCTCTCCATTCACCTTCATGTTCGAAAACGCCAAGTTTCGTTGTTCTTTTTTCACTATTTGATTTATCTATTACATAAAGTTGAATTATGTATGTTACCGTGGAGAGCGGATAGCGGACGCTGTGAGTACAATGAAATAGAGAAAACAAATAGACTTGATCGCCATAGTGTGTCATATCCAAAGTACTCATCGTCTAAATTAAATTAATGATTAAAAAAATAATATTAAGGTGTTATAAAAGAAATGCCATTTTCCAAACTTATAGTGTTAATTGAAGGCATATGCAAAAATTCTACCTGTGTCTGAAAACTATTTACTTTTATTCCCTTAGCACTCATTACGTCCCATGATAAATTAGGAAAACACAATTACTTCCCTTTAAAAAACAATACGCTGGGGGGGGGGGGGGGGGAGGGGGGGGGGTTACTTTTTATTACTATATTTTGGTTTTTGGAAAAAAAATTACATAATTAGCATGGATTGATCAAGTGAAATGTAATAAGTAAAACACAGATATTTTAAATACTGCTTTTTACTTATTTTATACGCTGAACGTACTGTTTGCTAATTGTTTTTTAAAATAATGAGCAATGGTTTAGAAGCCATTTATATTTAAAATAAATCTATGACGCCTAGCATCAGCCTTTATGTGGAGACTAAAATATAGTTCTCGACTTTTTTTTAAACACATGCTAATTTCTATTAACGTACTCTCAGGAAACATGTATAAAATCGTATTAATTGTATCACACCTATGAACAAAGCCAGACACAGCGCTTGTGATCAAACACTCGTTGATAGACCACCTGTGATCAAAGACAGTCTGCTGAGAAAACACCTGTGGTCAAACCCCCTATGGTCAAACCCCTATGATCAAACCCACTATGGCCAAGCACCGCTATGGCCAAAGGCCCTATAGTCAAAGCCCTTATGGTCAAAGCTCCGCTGTGGTCAAAGCCCCTATGATCAAACCCCCTATGGTCAAAGCCCCAATGGTCAAAGCTCCGCTGTGGTCAAAGCCCCTATGGTCAAAGCCCCTATGGTCAAAGCTCCGCTGTGGTCAAACCCCCTATGGTCAAAGCCCCTATGGTCAAAGCTCCGCTTTGGTCAAACCCCCTATGGTCAAAGCCCCTATGGTCAAAGCACCTGTGGTCAAAGCACCTAGGACCCACTAGTAAGAGTAACTAGAATAGCAAGGCACGATTGCTTGCTACTTTTACTGACAATACATCATTGTAAGGCTAAAGTAGGTAAAGAGCTGTCTATTGTAACCATGTATGACTTGTTTGTGATGGTTGGGGTTAAAAATTCCATTTATATAAAATATTTTGTGTTTTTTCTAACATAAATGCTATAAACTTATAATTATGTGTTCAATTCAATGTTATGTTAGTTAAACTGGATCTTGGTAATGTCATTTATAGAGGGACAGGTCCGGAGATTCGATACAATGTCTCACTATGGGCTTTGAGGTAATGCGGATAAGGCTGTATCAATGGGGGTGGGAACTTTATGAAATCATCGATTAGGGCTTCTTCTAATAATGTAATATATGGCTCCATAGCCTGATAGACCGCTGAATGATTTTGCATTGGAAATCCAATAAAAAAAAGTTTTAACGTGAGAAGAGCCAGTGGTTGCCCATATATCAGGCCCCCTATCTCCACACAGCTGACGGATCGAAAGGGCAGGACATACCCTGTACAGCTTGGAATCAGCAGTTTCGATGGAGTTTTCAAAAGGAAACTAGGGTTGGTAATATCTTGTAATTGTATTGCCTAAAGGGGCTCCACTCCTGTTTCATTTCGGAGTTTTCACTTATATATATAGGGTTCTGTCAAACTCTTCTTCTTCGTTTTCAATTTTTAGTGTTGGAAGGGATCGAGCCTTATCTCCAACAGGGTTTGAACTCGAGACTGTTTCGAATGTATCAACCATGAGCTTTTTGCCGACTCAACCACGCCTCCATCACAATTAAGAATACGTGTCAACTGGTTATGCGCCATTGAGGCCATTGACTCCGATTTCAGCCTGCTTTTCTTTTTGGATTTGCTTCCATAGCCTTTGTCCAACCAAGAACAAACTACAAGGCAGCAGTTGTTTGATTTTGGAGTTGTCTCTCCTAGAAGAGCCTCATCTGCCCGAGGGTTCGAACACGAGACTTTTCGGTTAAGCAACCATGAGCTTTACCGACTCTACCACGCAGACCCCACTGTCAGACTCATGACTTTCGGGTTGAAACCATATCCTTAACAACGCAACCACTTCGGCCACCATAAAACAATTAACAGTTATAAATGTAATTAATAATCATAATAATATTTTTCAGTATTATTTTTACTTTCTCGTACACAGAGTAGGCTATAGAGGAAGTATTGTAATCGTGCACACTACTCACATGAAATTTTGACAGTTTTCACCGTTTTAATTCTCAGTACATCACCACACGGAGTATAAGGGGCTTATTTTAATCGAGCTAAACTTCTAAATCGAGATTTATCAAATTTTTGGAGTTGTATGCGTATTCGAGGCAGAAAAGCTGTGTGTGTGTGTGTGTGTGTGTATGTGCGTCTGTAAATACGATAACATGAGTACCGTTACAGCTAGGTTAATGAAATCTAATATATAAAGCTCAATTCTGAATGTAAAATGTTTGTAATAATTTGTCGTGGATACTTCTATGGATTTAAGTGTTAGATTATTATAGTGCTTATGGTCAAAATTTATGAGTTAAAAAATTAATACTGAAAGTGTTGGAAAATAATTTTCATTCTTCAAACTGATAGTAATATATGTCGGCATGTTCATTAAACACAATTTTAAAAAAAATATCATCTTTAACAAAAAATCTAATTATGTTTGAAAATTATTTATATTTAGTCATTTAGCACTTACTTCCCTTTGATAAATTAAGAAAACACAATTACTTCCCTTTATAAAACATTGAATAAGTGGAAAAGAATTTACTTTTTATTACTTTGTTTTGGTGTTGGGAAAAAAATAATTACATAATTAGCGGGAATTGATCAAGTGCAATTGTTATGGTATTTTACGGATAAGCTTGGAGTATTATAATTATTCATTAAATTGAAACAGTCGCGTCCGCCGGCGCCCCACCAGTGTTCAATTTGGCGCCCTGGGATATCCTGTGAGCGCTATGGTGCATAATTTCGCTTTAAACAGTGCGATAGAGTATTGATAAGAAAGGTTACTATAGTCTTTAAGTGAATCGAATACGGGCGTCCTCTGGCGCCCAGACAGGGTACAATTTGGGGCCCCGGGCCTCCCGTGTTCGGTTTGGCGCCTACGTTCGTTTAAGTGAGTGCAAAAGACTATGAATAAGTTAGGGTACTATAGTCGTTTATTAAGCTGAAACAGGCGATTCCGCCCCGGGCTAGACTGTGAGCTCTTTGCGTTTATGTTCGCTTTAGTGTTTTCTTTGTGTTTAGGTTGGGTTTGCGTTAGCTGTTGTATTTTGATTTGGTTCGTTTTTGTTCTTTCTTTTTTCGTTTTCGTTTGTGCTTTTTCTTTGGGTTTGTGTTTGTATTTGTGTTTGTGGTTAATTTTGCGTTTGGATTTGGTTTGTTTTCACTTGCTTTTTCGTTTTTGTTTTTTCTTTGGGTTTGGGTTTGTGTTTGT